TTTTTTACTCCCTAATATCGGTATCGGTATCGACCCCAAAAAACCCATATCGGTCGGGCTCTAGTGTATCTACACTAGAGCCCGATCGATATGGGTTTTTTGGGGCCGATAGCGCTTGTTGTTTGTCATTTCTCCGATCACAAATGCAGACATCGTTTTATGTTTACGCAGCGCAACGTGTAACGTGTAAAAAGACAGTATAAGTCATTATAATCAATAATTATGTCCCCACTGGATGCAACTCGTTTATAACGTTTCAGAAAAGCGGGACATAGAGGAGAAACAATAATGTACAGTATGTGGAAAATAATGTGTTTTTTGAAACTTAAACCGCATAAACACATTACATTACACCAAATACACAAAATAATGTTCTTTTTAGCAGCATCATATGACCCACTTTAACTTTTATTGAGCAATCCTTATACACTATTAATGTTATGAAGAATTTAAAATGAATAACTACAGTCTAAAGCATTTATATAAATCTTACTTTTATTCTCTACAGAGGCTTTATTGCTATTAAACAAAGAGAGAGATCTGTCTCATTAATTTCAGCTTTTGCTTTTTACGTTTGCTTAAACCTTTATTGTCTGCTGATTCTTCTTGCATTAAGATTGAATAATTTCATCATTATCTAAAACACCTAAAACCCGTGAAATATGATTGCTTTTTGTGCCTTTCACATTTCTGGATAAAGCTTTTAAAAGCCTAAAAAACTATACTCCACCCCACACCCGACTGTCTTCTTGTCAGAGTTTTGCGTTTTAATCAGAATTTGGCGCGTTTTTGATCATCTGCCGTTGGTTTCGCCTCGCGGTGAAGACGTCATCACTCGCGCGCGCTTCAGTGGAGCAGTTTTCTGAGGTGAGCAGTTAATACTATTTGACGTAATTGTAGAATACACTTTACGCCGTTTATCAACTTAGTACTTATTTCTGAATGTTTCTGAATGCGCTGTTTGTGTGGCTGCTAACTAAAACACTTTAAAAAGGTTTTATGCTGTGTCTGTTTTTCTTCACATAAGAAATGGTAAGATGTTAGTGAACTACTTAGGAATGTTATGAAATCGACTATATTCACAATCATATGCACAAATCACAATGTTTGACAAAGAAGGTTTTCTACCAGCAAACACTCAGAATAAAGTGAGATGATCTGCTGCTGATCCTGAATGGCTTGTTTAATGAGTGTTTATAGTCTGAGGCTCATCGATATTATCAGCTGCTGAAAATCCTCTTTATTTCATGTCAATAGATCCTGTTTTCACCTCATTCATTATGCTGATGACTTCAGATCTGTTAATTGCCGCATTAAGCTCATTTTATTGCTGGCAACAGACTTAAGCAAACAACATGATCAGCTATTGTGACATTATAGGTAGGCTCCTATCATAACGACATTTATTTCATTAATCTGCAATAAACCATGATTTATGCACAAAACTAAAACACAATAAACAAATACAAGTTGTTAAATGAAACTCCACTGGTAGGTTATTTGTTTCTTGCAAATTTATTTTCCTAAGTTTGTTTATTTTCATTTTTTTTCTTACATTGTTTATATTTGGTATCTTTTAAATACCGTAGGCCTTAGATTTTACTCTATTTCGTTGTCTATGTGTTAATGAGATGTAAGATGAAATGTAGGAATCAGAGCATGTGAGCGGAGCAGAGCGGGGAGCGTATTCATGGTGTAATACAGTCAATTATTGGACATAATATTTAACGTCTTCCATTCATTATTTGTAGCCAGCCACTCAGTGATCGCAATAATTTTGTACTTTGTTGCTTTTAATATAACACAGCTTTGAAATTCTGTCAGTTTTATCACGAAATACAAATTATAAATGTGTTTTTACTCTTTATTTTAAATTTATAGCAAGATATAAAAGTGAAGGAACATCAGAAGGCATGAAAAAAAAAACAGTATAGCTTAATTTATAATGAAAATAATGTCTCATTGTAATCGGAAAGATGATTGACTCACATGCCGCTTAAACTGAAGCGAATACAGCGATCTGCCACATTAAAGAGAGTGAATAAACACATTATTGTAATATACATATTGCTTGTATTTCGCTATAAAACTGACACATTTTGAAAACTGAGACTTTGGAATGTCTCCCGGTGCTCCCAATCCGGGCCATTTGCATTTGTTACAATTGTAACTATCTGAAATATATTTTATGGATATACTCAAACCAAAGTTTTAAATGCTAAAATGGCTTGCGGTAGTCTCGTGAGGTGAGCAGTTCGTGGTACTTCACATGTTTACATTAACATTAATCGTTTATTTAAGCAGCAGACTAGGGCTGGGCGGTATGACCAAAAGTTTATATCACGGTGTTTTTCAAAATTATACCGGTTTCACGGTACATGCCGGTATTTTTCATGCATGACCGGGTGTTAACCATATTTTCTACTGATTGAGAGAGGAAATACTGCAGTATATTGACTT